GTGACAAAGATTCCAAACGTCTTCATCTCCACCGCGGTTCTAAGTCACAGAGAAACTCTTTGATCTCCACAGTCGACCAGACGTTTCTCACACCTGCGTCGTCTCGTCCTGATCTGACGACGTGTCACTTCCTGTTTTGTTTCACAAAACATTCGCCACTTTTTCTCTCCCTCATCTCACCTCACCCCATTTTTTTTATTTTTACCTGCTTTTGTTCCCGTCTGTCTCCACAGGAACAAACAAAGCAGGTTATTTTTCCAATGAGTTCAAAGGTCAAAGAGCAGAGAGACTCAAACGCATCGCCTTCATAAACGCGATAAAAACACCGTCACCAATAAGGAGTGAAGACATCATCAATGCTCATGGCATCAAAGAGCGCAAATGAAAGCGCTCTGATTGGTCGGATTTAAAGGAAAAGAAGCTCAAACTGAAGAAGTAAATAAAGACGATTTGAGGCGTTTTTTTTTTTTTTTTTTTTTTTAAAAAAAAGCTTCTCCTAAAACCAAGGAATGAATCAAATTTCTTCCATCTCAATTGGATTTTATCAGTCGGGCATCAAACAGGACGCCTCGTCTCCGGGGCCTTCTTTGTTCACACCGTAACGTGAGACAAAAACAGGCGAAGAACAAACCGTAAGATTGACACTTTCAATTTGTCTGCAGCTGGAAATTTAATCGTCACCGGTTTCAATAACAGCTCATTTCTCCGGCGTGTGTGTGTGTGTGTGTTTCCACGTTCTCATTCTGCTTTAATTAGCCGCTAAAATCACAGAGCGCTGCAGCGGTTCTGAAGGCAGAGGTGAAATGATGTCATCAGGTAAACAACATTAAAGGTTAAAGGTTAGCTCTCCTCCCCTCCCCTCCCCTCTCCTCCCTCCGCTCATTAATTAGGATGTAATTAGTTCCTACATCAGTCGATAGTCAGCGCTGCTAACCATCGAGACGACTAACTAACCAGTTTTACTAAACCTCTTCTCAGATCACTTTTTTTTTTGTACTGCGACTTATATTCCAGGGCGACATAAACATCCTTAAATATTCTCCATATCATCGATGGCCACAAGAGGGCCCTGTCTACACAAGTGACAAGTAAAAGCTTCCTCTGCACCACCGAAACTCACGACTGAAACACGTCCATAAAACTTTCGTCCATAAAGAACTAAAGAACAAAAAGACAAAAGTCAAACCGTGGAACTTAAAGTTCCTCCAGAATCGGTACCAGGAACTGATGCTGCTGAGCTTAAACACAGTTATTAACTCACAATGTCTTAAAAACAGTTTTAACAACCGTCGATTCTTCATCTTCATTTCTTTGTACATGTGTTTTTTTTCCCCCAGACATAATTTTGTGCCATTTCTTGCCCAGAAAGAACAACATTAAAAACACGAGGAAACGAACTCTTCGCAACAGTTTCCAAGGAAACAAATCAGCAGAAAGACTTTCATCACTTTCTCATCACAGCTGCGTTTTTCAATTTTGCACTTTTTTTTTTATTTCTTCCTCATTTCCTCCGTTGTCACCGTGTCGGCACAAAGACAGAAACACTTTTAGCCCAGTGTCAGCAGTGTGGCAGAAAAAGGCCCTCAGTCTGATCAAAAAAAAAAAAAAAAAGACAATCTGACACGGCTGACATTTTCCATCTCAAACCTTCACTCCTACAGCCTTTGACTTTTCCCTCTCCGACTTGTCAATCTGCCTATGGCTCTGTCAGAGGAGGAGACAGGAGCAGGTACTTTTTTTTTTTTTACTCCCCATCTCATTACATTTGGCTCCACGTCACCCCCTACCTTTCTCTTCCTGGTGGGGGCGGTGTTTTTTTTTTTTTTTTTTTTTTTTACTCCCCATCTCATTACATTTGGCTCCACGTCACCCCCTACCTTTCTCTTCCTGGTGGTGAGAACCTGGAACGGCTGGATCTGCTTCTTCTCTCGGTCCCAGGCGACCGCTTCGGCGTCGAGGACGCAGGACACGACCGAGTCCGTCTTCACCTGTGGGACAAAGGACAGGGGTGAGAATCAGAGGAACGGAGAGAGAAAAAAAAAAAAAAAAAAAAAAATCACGGAAATGTCAGACCTCTGAGGTCATCACGGTCCACAGGTGGTGCTAAAATCAACGACCGTCTTCTGCTGAAGTCGGCTTCATTTTGGTCAAGTTGGTGTTCGACACCAACAATCTTAGTAATTCAAGGAGGCAGGAGGTGAGGGAAGAGTAGACGGGGGGTGAGAAGGAGGGGGGGGGTTGCTAGCTTCTCCGCTAACAGCTAGCCTCCCGTTCTTTATTCAACAGCACCATTACATTCAAATTCACGGGAGGAAGGAGCGCGGCAGAGGGGGGAGGCGAGGGGGGGAGAAGAGGGGGGAGGCGAGGGATGACCTGCTGTCAGAAACACCGCTTTAATAAATATCACAAATCGTTTCCGTGACGATGGATTTTCTCCAGGTCTCCTGGATTCATCTACATCGACTACAGACCACAGGTGTGAATGACGGTGTGAATAGTTGCGTCTGTTCCTCGTCTTGTCCTGGTCAGAACCACACAGAACTTTATGGTCTGGACCAGAGGAACAAATTAAACATTTTACAACAGTGTGTTTAATAGTCCAGCCCCCCCCTTTTTTTTTTTTTTTTTTTTTTTTTTTTTATGCCACTGCGCCACCTTTGGTCACTTCTGTGCCTCGTCTCACTCTGGATTAAAAACCCGCAGCTCGGTTCTACAAGACACTTTTTTATGGAAGCCGGGTGCTTAGAAGGTTAAAAAAAAAAAAAAAAAGCTCATTTTCTCTGCACAAAAAAAAGTAAAAGCAAGCGTTAATTTCATGGGCCGTACACCCCCGTTCCAGCACCGAGACCCTGTGCGAGAGTGGACCATTAATGTGGAGTAAAATTAGGTTCTTGGGTCGTAAACAAAGGACATTTAAAAACTTTGGTATTTGGGAACCGATGCAGTAGTGTGTGTGTGTGTGTGTGTGTGTGTGTGTGTGTGTGTGTGTGTGCGTCTCCTCAACAGGAACTCATTCAAATCAGTTTCATCTGTCCATGCTCCCCTGGGTTTTTAAAGCCTGTTATGATGATACGATAATCCTCCAGGGGGCACCAGGCCTGACTGTGTTCAAGAGGATTTTTTATTTTTTTTATTTTGGGGATTAAGATGAAGAAGAGAGATAAAAAACTTCACATCTTTAAAAAGAAAGACGCCGCCTGATTTGTTTTTGTCCGTCTGCGTGGAAGCGACGGTGAAACGGCAGAGAACGTTCCTGAAAGTAAATCCCTCAAACGTCACCTTGAACACAGGTTTGTATTCGAGTCTCAGCTTCAGTCAGTCTTCACTTCACTCTGTCTGTGCTGACGTGGAGCAACAGACACCAACAGACCCATGATGATGAAGATGAGGCTAAAACATTCAGCTCAGGGGATGAAATTACACCGACCATCGCCTCCGCCGTCGACCGTCGCCTTTTCTCGATCCGACCGAGTGGCTGCTAATTTTCTAATCCGCTTAATCCTGCGCGTTTGAGGCGTAATCCCCTCCTGCTGGTCGATGTCTGTAGGGATTATTCCGGTGTGTAAATTCACACGCTGCTGCAGACGGACAGACGATCGATGTGTGAAATCTGACAGGTGATCAGAGGAACACGGCCCGATGTCTCGACAACGCTGACGAGGTTCACATACGATGAACACACCACAAAGACGATGTTTATAAAAGACGGTCAATATTGTCTCAACTTGTACAACACACACACAAAAAAAACTGTTTATGTGCAATACCATTCATAGGCACCAGGGGCTTAACAAAAACCAGGGAGAATGGGTGGAGTTTCTGGTTCCTGATCAACACATGACAACTCTGCTTTAAACCCATCACCAACGCCCTCTGGTGTTCTTCAGATTAGCTACAGATTAGCTACAGAAAACATGACATGTTTCTTTCAACCACGTCGCTCCACAAACACCACGATCTACGCATGAACCCGTCAACCATTCTGACCGCACACCACCGCTGACTTGTCGAACCGCACTCACGTACTTTTCTGCCACTCCCAACACTGTAACCGTGCCTTTAACAGACACCAATGAAAGGCCTGGATCGCGCAAAGAATATATCAGTGTCATATTTGCGTTACAATTATTTTACCCTAATTTATTTTATTTAAATATTTATCATATCTGTGCATT